GCCAGTTGTGATTGAAAATTTTGCAGACACATTAAATCAGTTACATGTAAAGAAACAAAATTGACGAATCATGTATGCAAAATGCTTGGCTATTAATTTATCCATGTATTATTGATAGTCAGGTGTTCAGCGTTTTGTATTGGTAAACTTTGTTATCCATGTCCAGTTTCATCTGATTCTCATTATGCAAGTAGAAACTATAAAGTGTGGGAGAGAGGAGGACAATAACCTAGAGCCTTCAAGGAAGCTCTAGACAGTAGGTATACAGTGAAACTAGCTTAGGAAAACATTTTTAGTACTATTTTTGTATTAATCATTCAGTATATTTTTTTACCAAATATAAAAAAATAATACATTTATATTATTTTTATCTTTATAATTATTTATTTCTATATTTTCTTTTTCTTTTTTAACAGGGAGTACCTCCTTTCATTATATGGAAAATACACTCTAGCTTAGATTAACTTAAATTGGAACTTCTACCTGACATTTAGCCACTACATTGATGGGATGGTTGGAACAGTCAATCAAAGACATCAAGTTTTAGGGCTATGTCCAATCAAAAACATGGCCTACTAGCCCTTTACTTCAGCCAATGCTGTCCCCTTTCTTTTTTCTCCAAGGTGAAAAGTGCTACACTGTTCATGTGGTTCTTAATTCAATTTATGAGTTGAGTTGGCAACACAAGATTCGTCCCATATTTCTCTGACTTTTTGCCCGACTTTGAGAATTTAGCCATTTATATACCATGACAGCAGGAAGATTGCTTGTTATAAGGGTTTTTTTTTTTAAATAAAATTTTAGATTTAAACCTTGTAAATTAAAAAAATTCGCATTATGTGTGGCTTTGTCTCTTTAAGTATGATGCTTATATATATCTACATTGCTATGTATACACCTTAATCATATTGTAGTTGATCATTAACATATTTAACGCCACCTTGTTAATTCAAAATTTGTATGATGTTAATCAATATAAACTCGGTATGAAAATTCTAGTGTACATGGATTTTTATTTTTTTAAATTAGGTATTGGTGTATGCACAGAACATATATACATAGGAGATTCCTTTCTGTGTAAGAATAGGAATAGTTAAAGTTGAATTACACTTGAGTTTCATTACATGTACTTACTTCTCCATCACTACCATACTGTCACTATCACGATCCCTTTGGTAATAACTAAGTGAGAGAGTTGGACACAAGCCACCCCTTGTACAGTTCTCTCTGTCTACTTACTCTGTTCATATTATCACTCAGTGCACTTATAATTTTGTCTCTGAAAATGGAAAGAGACTGTGCCATTTCACTCACTCTCATTTTTCGGGTGTGTGTACTGTTCGGAGTAAATTTTTTTACTCCAATATTAAAAGTTAATATCACAATTTATTTTACTCGCAGAGATTATTTTTTTCTATTGAAAATATTGCGGAAATACTAAACATAATAGATGAGCACCATCATCACAAGCACATAATTTATGTACTTTACTCAAAAATGAGTTACATTCACGGAAAATATCAAAATTCACTATATGAAAGTTTTGATAATTTCATGTACAGACTACATTTTTATAACTGTTATTCACTATCTCTTATTAATTAACATGAAATATTTTTCTTTACAATTAATTCAACAATCACGACATATCAATCTTAATATGGAATGTAATCTTTCACCGTTAATCTAGTAATTATGTTATATCACTTTTTAATAAGGAATATAATCTTATACTATTTTATACTATTAATTCAATAATTATGTTGGATCAATCTCAATGGATAAAATAATCTCTCAATAACGGCGAAAGATGCTCTATTATAAAAACCTTTTTTAATTGCTCCATCATGCATCACGAATAAGATAACACTATCACAATTCACAAAGTCTCGGTCCCATCTAACGAATCTCAGAATCATGTGAGGTCCATCATAAATGAAAAATTTATTAGTAAATAATGCCAACTACACATAACTCAATCAAATATATGATGTTTCCTTCATCTTAATTACTAAAATCAACCTATGCATGTGTAGGTTTAAGCTCCTTAACTATGTAATCAATGCCATAGAGGATTTAGAACAATCCTCTCATTTGTTGACACCTTTTCCTTATTATCGTTTGATACCAGAAAACCAACAATATTGCTTGTCTCTGCATCAACTTGCGAAGTACATTCTGTGTAGGCGCCTGCCACTTACGTTCAACTTCCCATTTTTCTCCAGTCTCCAACACCCCAAACTGTTTTTCTCCACCGTCCCATTTATACACAAGAATGAAACCAATACAATATTATCAATTAATAGGTGATATATTCTTCTACCATTATCTCAGCAATTGTGTCATATGTGTCAATTATAATGGGAATTATTATTTTACCCCAGTATTAATTATACTTTAAATTTTAATGTTGATCTCACTTATATCTATTATCTAATAACTTGAATTTATTAATTACAGGAGCCCTTGGATACAAATGAATTAATGATTAAGAATGAGAGTAAATTTTTTTATTTTTACACTGACATAAGTTAATTACATCTTCAATTCTAATCATTAATCCAAAAGTTATATCATACCAATCCTACTTGGGAATATAATTTTCCACCTTTAATCGAGCAATTATGTTATATAATCTCATAAGATAAATAATCTCTTACTAATGATAAAAAAGTATACCACCATTAACCTTAAATATTCCATCAATAACACTGGATCATATATTCACCCAAAAACAATTGAGTTGTCACACACACAGAGTAAACAAAAGCGAAGATGAGATTAAGGAGCTCTAAGTCAAGCAATTATGTTTTAGCTTAGAGAGAACCGTGAGACAGGGAGATTTAGAGAGAAGAGAGGAGAGAGTGCCACTGCTTGTCTAGGAGACTAGACACTCTTATGGCAACTGTTGCGTGTGTCACATTATTATTAGGCAAAAAAAAAATTCTCATGAATTCGTGCAAAAAAAAATATTACAAGTAGTCCATAGTTATAAATTTTTACAAAAAATATAAAATAATAATTATGTACTATGGGTAGTACATAATTGACTCTTATTATTATTATTATGGAGTGTTCACATTATTTATTTGTGTGAACTTTTACTGTCTTTTAATATCAATACACTAATTAAGGTTAAAAATAACTGCCGTGATAAATGCTAAATGTTACCGTGTCAGAACCAAACAAATTTTGTAGCCAGTGCCAAACATCAATTTCTGAAAATAAGCTTGCTATGGAGGAAGTTGTTATTTCTATAGTTCTATGTTATTTCTATATTTTTATAAAGAGTTTATCATCTATCATTTAACATGACCACAAAAAATTTCATACACACACAACATTTTGTGGAGCCCGCAGCAAAAAATAAAAATAAAAATTTCAGCACGCAAAACGAATCTCTATAACATAACACAATCACTTTTCCTACAACATAACTCTTATAAAACCTTTTTATAAATAGGAAATTAACCATTTTTGAAAATAGCAAGTGCCAAGACATTTGTTGGTTTCAAAGTGGCTCCGCCACTGCGTGTAAGAAAATTAACTTACATAAGAACATACCTGAAAGTAGGGGGTGTAAATGGATCAGACCTGACCTACAGCCTGACTTATTTTTAGTTTGATCTAGCTTGGCATTTTTAAAAATTAGAATAGGCTTACTTGTAAAAAAACTATTTAGTAGGCTATAGGCCAACTATGAAAAGTCTGGCCTATTAAATTTTTTCAATAAAATAATGTATTTATCTTAACAATTATTCGTTTATCCTAAGTCCTAACGCCCAACCCTAATTCTTTCTTTTTTGCATCGCTTCTTAGTTCTCACCCTAATTCCTTCCCTGAAGCACCAACTCATTTGTCAAAAATTCTAGTTAGAAAGAAGAGAATTTTAGGCCATGTTCTCACCCTAATTTATTGGTTTCATATGGGTTTATTGATTTCATGTTGTTCTTATAAATATGTCATAATTGGTAGGCCTAGGAAACTTACAGGCCATGTTAGGCTTTTTATTTTTTAACAGTATGCCTGAGCTATAAATTGAGCCTCTAATAGACTAATAGGCCAGATAAGCTTAACATATTTTTACGTAAGCTTAGGCCATGAAGGCCAAAGTCTGACCTAACCTGACGCATTTACCTACTTGAATGAGAATAAATCTTCTTATGTTAAAATTTCACACGGTCTAATTAAGTGAAATTTTTATATCTATCTCTTTTTTATTAATGAAAATGGAATCTTACTTATTTAATGCATATAAAAAGAGAGATAAACACAAAAATTTACGGGAACTTCTACCTACTATTATTGTATTTCTGCCCTAGTCTATGCTTTGCATGCTCCTCTGTCTCCTCCATATAATCCTTATAATTTCCTTCATTCCACGTGCGCTCACACACATGACACATGCCTCCTCATACATATTACTTCTTCTTTTTTGTAGACACATATTACCTTCTTTATCTCTCTATTTTGTGAACAAAACCAATTTAAAAAACAATCATTTTACCTATTGCAAATACGATAAGAAAAAACACACAGCCCCATACAAAATATATATATAACATAATTTTATGTCATTTAAAATGACAAACACTTTTTTCTCTATGTGTATATATACTTGCAATAAATTATTTCATTTGATTTGAACTCATCTTTCATTTAAATATAAATGAATGAAAATATGGATTCTCTCATATTACTCAAAGATGATCATATTAAATAATATATGAGAATATCTACTCCCAAATCAATAATTAATGATAAGACAAAATATTAAAATAAAAAAAATAAAAATTACCGCTAATATTCATATAAATATTAAGACCATCTCAACATAATATGAGCGTGAGAGTATCTGATCCTTTATTTATTACATTTCTCCTCCGGCTCTTATGATTGCCCTCTCCTTCACTATTCCCTCGATCTCACTCTTTATCTTAGCTACTACTCTTTCATCGTATATTATCTTCTTCTTCATCGATCCCATCAACAACATCACCATGCAAACTCACTCTTTCTCTTGCATATCCTCTTGCTTAGAAGCTGACATTGATGAAGAGTCAATATCACTCTCCCTTGGCCTTCCTGGCCAGCACAAATCCAAAATCTCTACCCCAAACCACTCTCCTACTATTATACATAGCCACAAAAACCCTACCTCTGATAATGACCAGAGATCAGGTGTAACAGTTGCCCTCCACACTGCACCAACTACCACCACCGTTACCAAACCTGACCATTCCTCTTCCCCTCCGATTCAGGGTCAGTATTGGATCCCTACTCCTGCACAAATCCTTATTGGACCCACCCAATTTTCTTGCACTGTCTGCAACAAAACTTTCAACCGTTTCAACAACATGCAGGTTAGTGAATAACATCTCAAACTGAACTACTACGTAGCTAGTAAACTATATTATGAATTCATATGCTATTAATTTGTTTAAGCACAAAGATGTAGTGTCATTTTGTTGCACTTAGTTTAGTGATGTAATAATATGAGTTATATATATATCACATGAACAATTTCTCTAATTTGTTGTTATATATAGCAGATGCATATGTGGGGACATGGATCACAGTATAGGAAAGGATCTGAGTCATTGAGAGGGTCGAAACCAGCTTCTTCAATGCTGAGGCTACCCTGCTATTGCTGTGCTGAGGGTTGCAAGAACAACATAAATTATCCAAGGTCAAGGCCACTGAAGGATTTCAGGACCCTCCAAACACACTATAGGAGGAAGCATGGAGGGAAGCCATTCGAGTGCAGCAAGTGTCGGAAGCCATTTGCGGTGAGAGGAGATTGGAGGACACACGAGAAGAATTGTGGGAAGCTTTGGTTCTGCATCTGTGGTTCTGATTTCAAGCATAAGAGATCTCTTAAAGATCATGTTCTTGCTTTCGGGAATGGCCACGCTACACACACCTTGGAGTCGTTGAGTTGTGATCATGATCATGAAGAACAACAACAAGGTGAAGATGGTAACAGTGAAGTGGTTGCTGTTACTTCCAATTAATACAAAGTTGGTGTGCGTTAGTTTTTTTGTTTTAAGTAAGATTTGGATTAATCCATTGAGAGTGAAAAGGAGTGCGAGAAGACGGAGACAAACATTGGAATGAAAGCTAAGGTTCTTGCATTAAATGCTTGAAGTAGGAGTCTTATCAAATTAAAGGACGTTTTCTTTTGAGGCTACTTGTCCTGTGATATTCAGAGAGAGAGAGTAATGCAAGGAAGGTAGTGAAGAGTATTCAGTGACTGCATATGATAGAGCAGACATTCATGCAGACAAGAGTAGTCACAGATTCTACTGTTGTTAACTATGCAGAGAAAGAGAGAGTAATTATGTCATATGTACACACTTGTAACGCTTTGATGGAGTGCTAGTGTCACTGTGAGTTACGATGAACCATTGATATATGTTGTTGCTGTTTTAGGGGTTTCACCAAAATGACTTTCTTTTTCTTTTTTAGACCAACCACAGACAGAAACTGCGAAACATGCATTCTCAGACGCTTAGTTTTTGTAATTTTTACCACGCTCACTTATAAACAACGAATTAATCTAAGTGGTTGATAGTTTTTACTGTGAGGAGGAGCACTCCAATAATAACTGCAAGAACTGAAGTTTACAAATGCAAGAATCCGTTTAACGGGTGAAAATGTTTTCCGAATTTATTTTATAATTTTATTAATAATTATAAAGATATCACTTTTCTTTATTTTATTTTTTTAAAAAAATAACATGTACGAATCTTTGAAATTTAAAATAATGAGACTAAATAAATTGATTTTTTTTTTCAAATTTTATAATAAAATGATTATATTTCTCGATGAAATTATATGCTATTTTGAAACAACAGTAGAGAATTCAAATCGGGTAATTAATAAGAGAAACCTGATGCAAATAGGATATTCATCGTAATAATATAATGAGTAAATATTTTTTTGGTCCTTAGCAAATTTCACGATGACCGCTTTAGTCCCTAACAAATAAAAAGGCTATTCGTAGTTTCTAAAAAGTTCAAAATGGACTCGTTTAGTTGAAATCGTTGTCCCTCACAAATTCAAAAAAGACTTATATTAGTCCCTCAAAAGGATTAAAATCGATCCATTTTGAAATTCTTAGAGACCACGAATAATCTTTTTATTTGCTAGAGACTAAAGCGGGCATCGTGAAGTTTGTTGAGAACCGGAAATTGTATTTACTCTAATATAATAATAAGAGTCCCTGACAAAATTTACGGTCTCCACTTTCGTCACTTACAAATAAAAAATCAACTTTTGGTCCCTTTACAATTTTAGTTCTTTGGAAATGTGGTCTCTCAGAAATTCAACGAATGCCTAATTTAGTCCTTAAAAATGGATTAATATGAGTATTTTTTTTTTTGTGAAAGACGAAAATGGAAACCGTATTTTTTGTTATCGACCTAAAAGGGTTTTACTCTAATAATAATAAAGATCAAAGCAACCATTCGAGCATTATACTTATATTTAATGCATGTGCATGGCCCTTCTGATCATTGTTCTTTGCTGGAGGCATTCTCGTGCCTTTTATATAGAAGGATATAACCAGGACGTTCGTCCACTGTATACATATGTAGCCATTAAGTTCACATAAAATAATCTTCCGATCAATACTTAAATATCTTGAGTATTTACTGACTAGAGCTCGGTGTTCCTTGCAGGTACCTCCCCAATCTCTTCAAACTACCCCAAACAACTCGCAAGCGGTGTACAAGCCAAAGCTCATACTCAAACATTGCAGATTCAACCATGTGTGATTTAGCTTAATAGTTATTAAATAAATCATTATTAATTTTTGAAGTTTTTTACTTTGAACTTAAACAAATTTTATGTCAATTTCCCCACTATAATAATAATATCATCACCTAGTTTCACGCACATCCATGGGAATTATAAATTCCATATCCACATCTTACCTAGTTTAGAAACGTTATCCCTCCATCCATCATATACCTAAGGGTTTTCCCTCAAATCATTTTCAATTGGTATACTTCTACCTTATACACTTATCTCTTACATATACTGACTTGGCTTAAGTGTTAGAGTATTTATAGGTATACCGTCCCCCAGTCAAGAAAATCTTTGGTGTATGTAGGGTATAAAAGGGTCAGGTTAGATCAGGCTTTGACTTTGATAGCCTAAGCCTATTTAAAATATTTAGAGCATATATTGACCTATTAACCTATTAAGGGCTTAATTTATAGGTCTGACCTGGTCTATTATAAAAAACTAAAAAGCTTAACGCGGCCTGTAAGGCCTACCAAGTTGCAAACTAAAGTTAATAGACCCAAACCAAATTCTAATATAAAATATAAAATTTATTATTCATAAAGATCACATGAAATAATATTTTTATTAACAACACATAAAATAATGTTTATAAAGATCACATGAAAATTTCATATATATATATATATATAATATACACACACATATAATTTGCATTTTCTTTACTAATTTAATTTAATATTATTTTAGTTTTTAAATAAATATTTATTATTTGTTAAAATAACATCAATACTATTATTTTAAAAATTAGTGTTTGACCTCAGAATATGTCTGTAAATGAACAATATATATCATAAATATATTATATTATTAAAAAAATTAAAAGGCTAGCCTGCGAGCTTTTTAGGCTAGTCTTTTCTTGAATTGTAGGGGTGTTCATCAACCGATCCAAACCGATTCAAACCGCGGTGACCGAACCAAAATATTGATAACCGAATAAACCGAAAAATCAAAAATTGAAAAAAAATCCGCAAATTTTAATTGGATTTGATCGATTTTTTGGATAGGTTGATGAAAACCGATCCAATATATTAATTCCCTTCTACCTACTTAGGTCTTTCCCCAATCATAGCCCAAAAATTTCTAAACCCAAAACTTATTAACCCATCAACTAAGCCCAAGAAAAAATCTAGTCACATCTCATCAACAAAATTTTATTTTTGTAGAACTTCATATTTCATTGCCCCTCAAAAATAAACTCTTATAGTTTACTAATGCTTTCGTATTTCAAAAAAATAATAATTACAAAGTCAATATATACAGAATATGTTATTTGTATAATAATCATGAAATAAATTTTAGGATTTTCAAAAAATCGAAAACCGATCCAATCCAAACCGAAAAAAATTGAATTGGATCGGATCGGATTTGAAAAAAATTTCAAACCGAATGGATGATTATATGATCAAACCGAAGAGATTGGATTGAATGATTTTTCCTTCCAAAACCGATCCAATCTAGACCGCGAACACTCCTATTGAATTGTGTGTTTGTTTGAAATAAAGAGCCACAGAGATAAAGAGAGACTCTCCTTGAAATGTGTGCTTTTAAATAGCTTTCAACCCAAAAAAAAATAAGCAATCACCAAACAACTTTTAGATTTTTTTTAAGCTCTTTCTTTTTTAACTTTAACTTAAAAGTAGTGCCTAGCTTAAAATTCAGCGATGCTCGCTCCGATAGAGCCAGTCGCTCCAACTGAGTCGGTGTCGCACTCTCCGCTCCAGCCAAGAAGGCTCGTCCAACGAACAAAGTGAAGAAAGGTGCTCCAAGGCCGGGAAAGGCCATAACCGCCGAAGCAACTGCGTAGAATATCTTAAGCATTCACGTGGGCGTCAACTCGAAGAAAGGATCCTTATGATCTGCACCATTATGAGGCTCATCGAGTAGCGGGTAAACCCGTGACTCTTGACCTCAGCTGAGTCGATGGTCGGGCCGAATTTTTAAACGTTGATACAAGTGAGAATTTTTCTTTTTTTTTGAAAACATACAAGTGAGAATTGGAATACACAGGATGATGCTATGCAAAATGCAACCAACAAATATTTACACAATCTTAGAGAGAGATTACAAAGCTTAATTTTGCTAACTGAACCAATTTTCATTGAATAATAAAAAACTGAAATTTTAATAGTTGAACGCATAACATCCCATGGACAAGTAGTTTTTTCGCTCCTTAAAATTAATAAAAGGGAATAATTTTCAAGACATAGACGAGTGGGATGAATAGCTCAACTAATATCTCTTCCATTTGTATTGATATGCAAAACATCATAAAGTGTTAGGAGCCAGTTCTTATTAATTAACACTGAAACTAGAGATGCCACTTCAAATAACACTACGTCCCATATAAGAAGACATAGAAATGAATATATAATAATAAAATATGGGAAATAATTATTTTATATTGCATAAAATAATTATCTTATGCAATAAAGACAAGATAGTGAGGTTCATTACTTTAAAAAAGAAAAAAAAAAAGATAGTAAATCCCACTATCTTGTTTCTACTGCATAAGATAACATAAGATAAATAGATCCCATAAAATATACCTTTTCTTCTTCTATTTTTGTGCAAATGAAAGCTAAAATGGAGGCAAAGCAACCTGGATATAATATGAACTCAAAATCAAGTAATTCTCAAATAAACTTGGGCCGCTTGAGTATGGTTCTTGGGCAATGTGAAAACATATATTTCTTTTCTCTGGGGCATCGGATTATGGGCTATATATGTAAAGACAAAACCTAAGACTGCCTTGGGCTTAAAAAGTCGACCCAATAAAATAAAAATTTCAGCTGAGTTAAAAAAAAAGAGTAACGGGGTTGAAAACAATAATCATAGGTTAAGTTTGAAATTAAATAGAGTTTAGTTGTTATCTCAGTATAAGATTATACTCAAATAGTAATAATTAACAATAAAAGAATGTGAGAATCACATTTTGCTTTTACACGTGTTGAAGATATTAAACATTAACCTAGTTTTAATTCTATTTAGTAATAAGAGTTATAGGTGAGATGAGATTTATTGTAAGACGAAAATTTAACATGTAATATAAAATTTCTCGGAAATCCAACTAGAAAAATGGAAGAGAAAATTAATGAAAAAAGAGCCGAGCTCATTAAAAGCTGAGAAGACCAAAATGTGTTGCTGCAGTTTTTTGTGGCCGGTCATGCCCAAAACCTGCTGGTATCGTTTTTTGGCTTTTTAACCCTTATAACCTTTTATTATTAATTAATTACTGATTTGACCTTGATTATAAACTATTTTAAAATTTTAACCCCCTCAAAACATAACACCAATCTGTCCCTGTTTGACCGTTGACCACCAAACCTACCCGGGT